TTGCAAAAACAAGCAACAAATGCAAAATGCAACACACGCATGCTAGCGCTGGTGCTGGTGCTGGTGCTGATGTTTAGCGGTGGTGATGGTGGTGGTGGGGGTGGTGGTGGTGGTGGCGGTGGTGGTTGTGGTGGCGGTGGTGGTGGGGGTGGTGGTGGTGCTGGTGGTGCTGGTGGTGCTGGTGGTGGTGGTGCTGCTGCTGCTTGCAGCTGCCGCTTCTGTAGCGAGCTTTATCACTACCATGATAATAATTGTTGTTGGTGGTGGCAGTAGTAGCTACGCACTAGCAGTACGAGCACACAGAAGCCATAGCAGCAGCAGTGCGAGTGGAAGGGCAATACCAGAAAACATGAATCAGTAGTACAGTAGCGCTATATAGTCACGGTAGTAGCCGAAGTGGCATAAGTGGCGCTGGCAGATGTAAGGCAAACCGTGGAGTAAAAGCGATGATAGAAACAATGTAGTAGTAATTGCGGTACTGGCAGTTGTACCAGTAAGATGTACTCGCAGTCTTAGTAGCAGCTGCTGCCAGTTGTACCACGGTAGCGGCGCTAGTTGTGCTAGAATAACATACGCATCTTGCAAAAGGCAGGTCAGTAATTGCTGACGCTGACCTCCCGCAAGGGGGAACCTGCACTTGTCTAAATATAGTACATAAAACCAGTCTGCAGAGCAAGCTTAAAGGAACAATGCTGTCAGGGATGTAATAGGGTCTGTAGCTAATACATAACCCTAAAAGAAGTCGCTCCTGATCTACCACGTCTTACAGAACTCCTGGTAGCTCCGTAGCTCCTCCACAGCCAACCTTTGCGGCTCTCCAACCAAGTTCCCACAAACCTGGCGACTGCCAATCCCTTGCGGCCCCCAGCCCCCCCCGCCTGCCGGTTTGCTCACGACGCAAATGCCGGGGCCTTGGAAGATCAGAACCTCAGGGCTTCGACGAAAGCCAAAAGCCACCATTGCGGTGAAACAAAATGCCACGGGCTGGCGCGCTTTTTGTTAGGAATTGGAAAACCCAAAATGCTGTCCTCCAATTCGATTTCCTTGTGGTTTTCCTCTAAACCCACAAAAAAGGGGCACCCTCAAATCCAGACTTATGTATCCAAAAGCACCCGACAGAGTCGTCTTTAGGCCATGCGCTGGGCCCCATTGCCAAGATTCGCCAATCCTTCAACTTGACTTGCCATGAAGTACGGGACAACCTGGGTAAAACGAACAAGGGAAAAACCTTTGCTACCGACAAACACGGGGCTTGCTGGGCAGGGAACCGAAACACTCTACCGAACATCTAAACATCAACAATCTCAAAACATCCGTTTTATCCAAGACAGCCGAACAAAGATCAACATGTGTCAATTTGGCGTCCACTGCCAAAATCCAGGCTGTTGCAAGTGCGCAGTTTCGGGGTACACACACATCGGATGTGATTGGAGCCAGTGGCATCCATTTGCTGTCGGTCAATTGCAACATAGCCGTGGCTGTGTACTCCAACCCCCGCTTTGTAGAACAGAAACAACAACAAAACCTGCGCTCCCAGTGGCCCTTGGGTCCCAATGTCACAAGTAGTGTACAGTAGACCCCAAATCAAGCAGAACTGCCTGGTTGATTCTGGGGGTGTCCAATAGCTTTTCGTGGGGTTCAGAAAAAAACACCCCTACATTGATAGGACGGGTGTAGAAATCTGGGGTCAACATCACTTCAAAAAGGCAGCACAGGCCAGTGGCGCCTATGACATTATCTGGGTCCCATCAATGAGCTCGTGCAGTGTGCCAGCACAAACAAGCATGTTTCGGCCAACGCAGTGCAAGTTTGTTTTTCCCCACGGCACCCAGCAGAAAGGCCACAGGATCCAACGAACAAATCGCAACATTTGCCCGAGAAAAGGCCACAGGCCACACACCGTTTTTTTCAAGACCCTTTTGGTGAACCCCAACAATCAGCAAGCCACTTTGGTACATCCGGGAAAAGAATCCGGCTACTTCGCCCTGTGGTTTGACAGCCCTGCCTACACCATATCCGGATTCTGTACCCATAGCCCACGTATGCCCTTGCTATGGGCTCTAGTTGCAGTCATTGCACGATGGGACCATGCAATTTCCAAAGACTAACCAAATATTAAAGGGGGGAGAATCCCTTGTATCACAGAAGTGGTTGGAGAAACCCCGTGATCCCACCCTGAAGCCAATCTCTAGCCGACGCGGCACCCGAGCTGAGAGTCGTGCCGGCGCCAACTTGGTCTGCAAGAACTGCTGCCTGGCGCAAAGCTCTTTCCTGCGGACTGGCTGTGGCACAGCCAAATGGGTCGACCCGTCTTTTCCTGGGAGACTATGCCAACATGTGGCTCTCCCTTTGGTTCCCAAAAAAGGGGCGAACCGGAACAAAAAGACAGAGCCAAATGCAGGCGTGTTTTCAGGCCGGCCCTTTTGGGATTGGTTTGACGGGACATGTCCCCTTTGACGTAGCACTTGCCGCCGGTCCTTCCGTCTGTGAGCTAGCTGCTGTAAGTTCACAGGGACTGGCACCCAACCGACCAAATAGGTCAGAATTCAAACATGTGGCACTGTGGTATTTGCTAAACTGAATGATTCAATATATCATGAAAACACGACAGTAACAACATATATGAGCAAGTGTATCGCGCGCAAACAAAGGCCCAACTCACCTTAAATTCTATTCAGCTGTCCTGAGCTTGCTGCTAAATACACCATTGGCATGCTGAGGTGGCATTTGCTCCAGGCAACCAATCGCTTTTCAATCACCAATTCTCAATCCTTGGAGGGGCTGACTGTTCCAGGTTCACGTCACTTCAAAGGGGCTGGTCGCAATCAACTCTCGCCACCAAACTTGTGAACTCCCCAACAATAATTCTGCAACCACTGTGGAAGCTCTTGGAAAATGGTATGTGTGGCTAGCCTTTGGGGTGCAAATGCCACATCTTTGGTGTCAATACTCGGCAATGCGTGACGCGGCACCTTGTCGCGCTTGCTTCTGCATCAGCACCTCTTCAGCTGAAGCGCTGGCGTCCACTTGCAAAAATCGCTCAGACATGGCCTGCAAATCTGGAAAACTCCATTCTTGGCCAAAGCATTTGAACACGTCAAGCAAACCATCCAAAACACTGGGCGACAGCTCTTGTTCAAAAAGGCATCGGCCAAAATTCGCGCTTGGTACATTCTTAGGCTCGGACAACTCGGACTGGCCTCCGAGTTACTAGCGGATGTCGAGGAACCTTAGTGGTCATTGACTGCAGGTTGCTGGCCTTGGAACAGTCAGGCTGTCTTCATCCAAAATTGCTCGATCTGATTTCCTGCAAAACGAGGTCTCACAGTTCTTGGGTAAAATCCTTGTCTGCCCTCAGGTCGTTAAAAATTGTCCTACTGCGAAGCCCACATTGGTCTGGCTTCTTTTGGGGGTGCCGATATGTTGTGTAATTTAGAAGGAAATCCAAGGGAAAACCGCAATTTTGAGGGGTCCCTTCAAAATTTCTTCGCTTCGAGCAATCCCCACCCTCCACACTCACGAACTTACGACCGTTACAACAAATTCCTCCGCATCCTAAAGACTTCGACTCCAAATTCCCATCGGCCCTTTTGGATACTGACGAGATCCACTGGCGAATACTGGCAAGCCGCTCCGGCTCGATACTGGCCGGATACTCGGCAGGATCAGCCGGCAAGGGATACTCAGCGGGATATTCGGTGGGATTACTCTGGGATACTCAGCGGGATACTCGGCGGGATCCGCTGGCGGGCTCTCTGGTGGGATACTCGGCGGGATCCACTTGCTGGTGGGATACTCAGCGGGTCCACTGGCGGGCTGCTCTGGTGGGATACTCGGCGGGATCCACTGGCGAGCCGCTCTGGCGGGATACTCGGCGGGATGCGCTGGTCAGCTGTTCTGGCGGGAAACTGGGCGGGATCCACTGGCGAGCCGCTCTGGCGGGATACTCGGCGGGATCCACTGGCGAGCTGCGGGATACTCGGCGGGATCCACTGGCGAGCTGCTCTGGCGGGATACTCGGCGGGATCCACTGGCGAGCTGCTCTGGCGGGATACTGGGTGGGAGCGTGGTGTAGAAGCATCGCAAACGCGGATTCCGACAAAAAAACTAACAACCCCTTCCTGTCGGGTGGGGAAAAAACAAACACACATACAGACCCGCATGAGCATTGTCTGTCTTGAAGTTCAGGCTTACACGCTGGGAGCCTACGCCGGGGCCTGGGGATATTTGCGAGACAGCAACTGAAAGGAGTGGCTCGGAGGTGTTGCCTCAGCCATCCAACTGCTACTTCTTCGCTGGAAAAGCATACTTCCAGCAGTACATTCCCTTTAAAACCAACGAGGGAACATCCTGCGCGGCACAGAGTGTTCCCCCCCGAGACCAAAACCAATTTAAGGGTTCCATACTAAACCAGTTCTAGATTGTGCTGGGCCAGCACAAAACCAACTCTGAACCACTACTAAGCTGTACTTGCTAGCAGGCCCAACTCTGGCCTCCAGTTTGTCTCTCGGTGTTGCCCTTATTGACGCCGCCTGCTTTGTTGGGGCAGAGGGCCGGGCTTTGCTATTCGAAACCCCATGAGCCAAGCGCTTGTCCGATCGCGACCCCGCGGGCTTTCGAGCGTCCGAAGGAGCTGAAACCCGCAGAGGGCTTCGCTTTTTGCACATGTCGATTCCCCTGCCACACACGCATGATCACGCATGCATTTGTCCTCGTGCATGCTTATTCTTCTCTTGTCTTCTGTCAGAGAGCTAGCCTTCAGATGGTGTCCCTACCACGGGCAGTTCCTTCTAATAGCTTCCTTTGGCCTTTTATTTAAATTTCAGCATGCGGGACCATGTGGCGATTCGAACCACCCTGGCGCATGTCCATCCAGGTGGATGGGTGAACGTACAACCTATGTATAAAGGGGGTGGAAATGCTTCTAATCCGCCCATCCACTTCCCGGCTGCATCCCTGAAGGCCTTCAAAAGAAACATAATTGTTGCGCTTAGGCACGGCACCATCGGGATGGTTTCCAGATGATTCCTGCCAGCGAATCTCGAGCCTATTGTGATACACCCACATCGACCTTGTGCGGCCCCTTTTGAGAACATGTTTGTTCGCATCCCTTTCGCAAAGCTTTCGCGGGCCCCATGTTTTGTTCTTTTCCGCAGCAGCTTGCAAAACAACACCTTTGCTGACTTCCTTCATGTTGCTTTTGACCACTGCTTCAAACAGGGAAACACAATCAGCTCAAACAATGTCAATGGGTGTGTCCCAACACAGGGGACGTTTTGGATTGTGTGATATTGCGTGTAAAGAACAACTAGACAGCCAGCCAGGGTTAGGGTCCCTTTCTAGATATTAACAAAGAAAAGCTTCTCTGTAGCTGGTGAGTTTCCCGATCACTCCCTCGCTTCGGTGTGGCCAAGAGCCCAGCCATCGGTCTCGATCTGGGATAGATCGGTCTCAGACTCAGAGCCTGCGATAAGACTTGGCTGGGGATTGCATTTACACTTTGTCCAAGTCTGGGCTGCAATCCTACGGCTTTGACCCCCCCAAATCCCAAAGGTCCATCAAGGGTGCTGGTGCGCTGACACGAAATCGCGACTTCCGCTGGGGCTGGAAACAAGGGGCATGCGATCATGCCGGTGGCCTCAGAATTAAACAGACCCACTCTGACTGGCAGCAACCACAACCACCTGAATAATAAGCAAGGCAGGACTCGAAGGAAAGGCGCCTGCAACATGCCACGCAGTTTCGCTCATGCGCGTGGTCGGGTGTTCCGAACACAATTTGGGCTCACGAACGGGAGTGCCTGGCAGTGTCGGAAAAACACGGCGTTTCGTGCTTCTGAACGAATTTGACGGTGAAGTCCAACATGGACATTTTGCGGATATTCTACAGGAACGCTTGCCCTTGAAGTCCACCACGTATGGGAAAGGATTACTGGAATCTACTCTCCCGGAAATAAAGAACATAATTTAGTCTCCAGGAAAGAAAAGGAAAAACAACAAACAAACAACCACAAAAACAAACAAACAAACAAACCAACAAACCAACAAACAACTATTTTGGTGCGAAGCATTTCAATCAAGCTAGTGGCCTAGCTTTTAACTCCTCGATGGCCTTAAAAATCGACTCGACTCACGGGTCCAAGCTGTCAGACCGAGCGCCTTCAGTGCCGGAGGGCACCTGGCGCGGTTTGAAACATCCTTTTTGAGTCACAACCAAATGGCAGTGGCTCGAGGAAGAAAAAAAGCGACAAGAGCTGGGGCAAAGCGCAGATCTTTTAAGTCTTTGGCGGCATTTCAGGTGCCATTTGGTACCATGCTTGTTTTGGAGCAGCCAAGTGCGACGGAGAAAGGAGACAAATAAATAAAGCCACATCGACTTACTCGGGACGCTAGTCGGACCCTTCCTGGAGACTGAAATGAACCCCACCATGGTCGCCCTCTGTCAAAGAGGAACATGTCCAGATTCTCCGAAAGAGAAATTATTTCCGGACTTCTACTTGTGCGTCTTATATGAGACCAAAGGCCGTGCCACTCTGAGCTGCGACTTTTTGACATTTTTGTCATGCAAACAGCATGCTTCCTGTAACCCCTTCGAGCTGGGTATTCTGCTCTTAGTTTATTACCCAAACGGCCCAGAAATAAAAGGTTGAGCTTGTGTGACCGTTAATAAATATGGATACATATGGACCAACCCAGGGAATCCAAAATAAAAAAGGTCAAAAGGTTGGCTTTGGGCATTTCAGTGTTTGATTCCCAGGTAGATTTCCGGGGCCTCTCGGTGTAGTCCTGAGGAGACTGCCTTTCTGCGCATGTGTTTGAGGGTAACCCTTTCAGGCTGGAGCGAAACCAAAGATAGACCAGGCTTTTTGGGTCCCCCAAGTTTTAGTTGCTGTTGACCCCCCTGCAAAAAGTTTAACATTTTGGGGGGTTTAGTAGAAGCACCTTTATTTCCCAAAATGTTAAAATCTAAAGATCCAACCCAAGAGCAGTCAAGAAGTTAGCACCTCAAATTGAAGTATTTTGGATTGTACAGGGTGATTGTACAGAATGATGGCAAATGACAGGCCAGCAGCACCTGCTGTGTCCCGCTCCAATTGTTCCAATCCCTCCAATCAGAATGTCGGGCCTGAAGGAAGCGGGTGCCGGGGAAACTCGTGGGCGACCAGTGGGCTAACACCTTGTTTGAACATGGCGATTGACAACTTTCTTTTGGCGACCCTTGAAAGGGGACCAGGGCGTGCTGGTGCACAATGTGTGACTGGGGGCGGGGTTGCCACACATCAGTGTGCTCGTGACGTGTTGATTTTACAATCTTGCACAGTCGAATGTGAACTCCGTTCACGTAGTGACGCAGTGCCTCACGTATAGCATTCAATCATTTGGGGAGCCGCTTGTCTAGCTGAAGGTTGGTGCTTCGGGCACGGACGCCTTCCAAGCAGAGTATATATTGTCTACCAGTGCTACCACACATTCCTGCAATCGAAGTGATTGTTTTTTAAAGCCACAAGACCCCCAGTAGAGGCAACCTGTTTGGGGTGTTGGGGGGGAGGGGTTGTGAAGAATATGTTCAACACAAACTAACCTGCTCTATGTAGGGAAGCCTCAAGATGTCATATGGGACGCGCAATGCTTAGGAAACATGGAAATAGGAGTTGATCAAAGGGTCCTTTACATGGGACCATCGGTTGGAGAGCGACTACAAAAATGATACTTCCCACATTGGAAAAATGACCCATGCTCATTTGGGGGGCCAGGAATATTGATCAACCGCCCAAATGTATCATGCATGACGTAGAGCGTATCGAAACCAGTTCCAAATGAGTCAGCATGGACCGACCTAGACAAGGCCCGTCGAGCTTGTGCGGTCTTTGTGATCACGGTGAAGCTCCGACAGCCAGCAAACCTCCGCAATTCTCAATCTGCAAATGGGAAGTTGAAGCATGTATGTGGCTTTCTGAAATCCCTATTGAGGGGCTGATGATCATCCGTGCAAGCCCCAAGACCAAACACGTGTCGGCATCCTGGCACATGTGCCACAGATTAGGCCAAAGCATCGCTTTAATCACGCCATTCCAGCCGAAGAAACACCGCCGCTCTCAAGCCGGCTCATGGGCTGCAGCCTAGCTCAATTACTGATTAAAATGGCACCCGCATTCAACTCTAAAGGTGCTCCCCGTCCTTTTGCGCAGTCCCATTTGGAATTGAACTCTATGCAACTAACTCTTGAAACGCAATTCCTGTCGAAGTAATGCGACGCTTCTCCAGCTTGTTTTGTTTAAACATGGCAAACCTTTGCACACATGGGTGATTGTTGGGGCAATTCCTAGGAAGCAAATCCTTTCCTTCACACCAGCATCGGCCAAAGGCACGAGATGCCCTAGTCATGACAATCAATACTCGTGGCCTCTGGACAATTGAAACGATCAGAAGAGCAACGGCTGTAGGCGATGAATATTGACTGTAGCTCAATTCATAGCCTGGTGATGCAACTCATTTCGCTGCGAGGCAGCAGACTAGTTTGCGTGAGTTTAATAGAAAGGCTTGGGATGCCTCTTTGGCCGGCTTGTTCTTTGAGGGGATGGTTCCAGCTTCAGTGATGCCTGGAAACTGACGGGGAACTGAGCAAACAACAGCAATGTCGGTACATGACTAAGAAATCCCAGTGTTCAAGACGCAAAGTCCCAAAATCATGCAATACAACAAAACGTAAGATTAAATTACCAAACCGATTTTGCCATTGCAATCCTGGCTCCCTTGAACCTTCCCCACGAAGTCGCTTAAGTCCATCCTGGCATGCGCGAAGACTCAGAATGCGAAACACGGTCAACCGTCAAACTCCAGTGCTCTCAGGGCCTCTGCCGCGTGGCCAAACACCTCATTGCTGAGCGGATGCCCACGATGTTTTCGCTGGAAATGGAAATGACCACTGCCCGTCCTAGTTGAGCCCTTCTACTTCAGCGAGTATCCAGCCTCAGCCTTCGAGCAAGTATATAACAGCATCAATCGATAGTGGTCGCTGGTATTACTGCATGACATGGTGTCTGCTCTGTTAAGGTTCCAGAAACAATGCGGCCGAAGCCTATCATATCGCAAGAAAATGGACAAGTCAGGGGCGAGCAGCAAAAAAAAGTCTCAACATGAACGGCCATTGAGCCCTCGAGACTTCATGGCTGTCAAGATATCGATGCAGTTGACCCAAACACATCCTTGGCATTGGACCAGTGGATGCACCCCAGGCTCTAAAGTCTGTGCATGTGAGTTGTAAGCGCAAGCTCCGACTCTCTCCAAAAACTACTACAGATAATTCTTTAGTCTCGGCTATATATATTGTTGATCAAGTCAGCCCAAGCGCACCCCAAATGGATTTTGGCAAGTAGCTTCCAGCCTGCATCAAATCCTGATGAGGAGGATGCTGATGCTGATGCTGATGCTGATGATCATGATGATGATGATGATGATGATGATGATGATGATGATGATGATGATGATGATGATGATGATGATGAAGATGTGATGATGATGATGATGATGATGATGATGAGGAGGAGGAGGAGGATGATGAGGATGAGGAGGATGATGCTGATGATGATGATGATGCTGATGCTGATGCTAATGCTGATGCTGATGCTGATGCTGATGCTGATGCTGATGCTGATGCTGATGATGATGCTGATGCTGATGCTGATGCTGCTGCTGCTGATGATGATGATGATGCTGATGATGCTGATGATGATTATGCTGATGATGAGGATAATGTTGTTGATGCTGATGATGATGGTGATGCTGATGCTGATGCTGATGACAATGACGATGATGCTGATGCTGCTGCTGCTGATGATGATGATGCTGCTGCTGCTGCTGCTGATGATGATGCGGACGCCGGTAATGATGAGGCTGATGCTGATGCTGATGATGATGATGATGATGATGATGATGATGATGATGATGATGATGATGATGATGATGCTGTTTATGTCGATAATGCTGATGCTGATCATTATGAGCATTATTATTTTTATGACGGTGGTGATACCTTATTGTGATCTTTGTGTACGGCATCCGATTTGAAGCCCTTGATTCGAAGCCACTCAAATTGGTTCGGCGAATCATCCAAGGCGACAGCTCAGCTCCTCACGCAATGTCCAACAAGGCAGTTTGCCCCGTGCTTGCACTGTATCTGCCTGAGCCACAGGGATTCCCTAAGGAGCGGCCGCGTGAAGGGACGTTCTTGTTGGCCTGAATCTTTGTATGACTCAATAATCTGCCGGAATCCTTCCGGCCTGTCCACAAACCACCAACCACAGCGTCTACACTCATCAAATTTAGGGTCTGCTGATGCTAAGTAGATCCACCCTAAGCTGCGTTTCGAAAAGTGCTGACACAAGGAGCTCGCGAATCCACGCTTGGGGCATGGCAAGCCACGGCTTGAGATTGTGCAACCGCGAGATGGCAGATTACACTTCGCCGGTGATTGACGTTCCATGCAAGAACTCAGTTGCCCCAAGGACCTGGAACTACAAGGTTAACCTCTTGGGGCCGTGACTAAATATGGACCAAAATGGGAAAACCAAAAGGTCAAAAGGTCGGCTTCGAACAACTGAGAGAATGATGAGCAAACGGATGCGATGCAGCCGGGCTGAGTTGAAACCATGTGTGTTAGCACGCGCAATGCCGCTGGTGACGTGTCCCACTCCCTGATGAAGAACTAAACCGAGTGATACTCATAGCCTTCGGGCAACAAAAGTTTTGTCATCGTCTGGCTCATATGACTGCTCACAGTGTTCAACCTCCAGCCTTAGCCAGGGAGACAGGGAGATAAGGTCGTCGTGGAAAGCACTGACAAAGAAGGCCACATCAACACGTTCTGAGTGACCAAAATGATATTTACTGCAGTGCCAGGGACTTGTTCTCTGGCACTTCCTCTTCAACCATTTCTCGAGGCAGAGCTCCAAGCCTAGGTCCAAATCTCAGCTTTTGCATTCAAGCACACCACTCAAAGGGGGGCGAAACCTTCTTTTGTGGCCTGGGACTTTTGCAAAGTCTGCGGACCTTGGTGACTCTTTGCCCTCGGCTGCTTCCGGTCAGCGCCTCAGCAAGCGCCGGGCCTCCCGAAGCTCCCTGACGGAACGCACAGAGGCGGGGAGAAACCACACTCGGCGCGCAAAAATGTGTTCACCCGAGGATAGTTTAAATATGAACATAGTAACATAATTGTTTAATTGACGGAAAAATATCACCTGAGGATATTTAAATGAATAGCAGAACTGTAATTCACAAGGGGAACCACCTCCAAAATGGTTGCTGGAACATGAATCTCTTGCATGACGTCCACCCAAGGGGCCCCCTGATTCAAATTCCTAAACAAATAGGCCTACTGCGCAGCCGACCGGACCGGCCCGGGTGCTACACTCGGAAGCCAAACCTAACACCAACCAGCGAGTACTTCCATTTGCGGACACGCCCTCAGGACAAAAATCAGACAATCATTCCAGCTTTAAAACCAACAAGGAAAAATAACAAAATTTCTCGTGCAAATGGAAGCATGTGGGAATACCTCCGCGTGAAGGTCTTCAGCCACCCTCAGGTTTCAATGCCAAAGTTGTAGCCACGTCGAGAACATTATGATGCGCATGTTACCGTGGCAGGCAATATCTGTGCACTGACACATCCAACATTGGGTGCAACCACCAAAAAAACTTGGGCCTGGGTGGATGATGTGATAACCTCTCCCCAATTCGTTTGCAAAGGGACTTTCCGCGCCATCAAGTACAACTCCTGGATAGGGTTGGACTTGGATTGGATACGGGATGACTTCAGCTTGGAGGTTAGGTTTAGACAAGAGTTCAATTGGTTGGGTGGGGATTTGGGTCCGGATGCAGGAGCTGCAAACCAAGAGATCAAAAGTTGGCTTTGGATCAGAGAGAAAAAATCATGATCAAACATCATGCTCCCTACTTAAACCTGACGAGAAATGAGTACAGCTGGTCAATTTCCCCGGATCGCGCCTCTCCTCCGCATGGTACCTGAGAGAAACATGCTCCGGACCCAATTGTTTTGCCAATCCATCCGGGTTACAACCTCAATCAAAAGAGCAATTCCGGGTGTCAAAGACTCGTTGCACCCACCGGTTTCCGCATGTCGTGTGCGTACCAACTTCAAACGAAGTTTGGCCCGACTCTCTCTTGTGAAGCTTCGGTCCCAATAACTTTCCAGTATAGAGATGAACATATCTCCAAAATATATGTTGTGTCAAGGTAAACACACACCACACCAGTTGAAAAACTCATTTGATGAGTCCGCTTCCATGATTAGGTTTGATTAGTATGGTGACAATTCCACGGTTGTGACTCTTGGACTGAGCGTAAACAGGTCGGGCTCGATGAGAACCGTCCCGCCTCTTTTCCGGAGCAAGGATCACAAGTTGAATATACAATTTTCACATTGGTTTCTACAGATCGAGAAAGACAAGCCACGCATGGCCGGTGCACACAGGACTGGCGCCGACAACATGCCTTGCCCACTCACCATGTGGACACCAGCCAGCCTTTGTTGGTGCTGCTTTTGTCAAAGAAAGTCCCCAGGGTAAAAAAACAAAACGAAACAACAAAGGGACCTGCCAGTAGTCAATGGTGGGGGACAATAACGTGCCTCCAAGACACCAATGGCATGAATCGCCATGTGCGCAGTTGCCGCCAGCAAAGTCGAAGCCTCAAACATGTGCAATTCCGGCAACAGTCGGATTTGTGCCTCACAACCAACAGGCAAATAAGGGCTGTTGATGGTGCCCCGAAGGGTCACCAAAGAAGCTCTGGAAATCCCATGAATTTAGCTATGCAGGCAGCAACCAATGCAAACCAGCATGTCAAACATGCAAAGCGGCAAGCCGGAGCCAGGAAGTGACCAAACTTCGCGCAAACCCAACAAATAGAAGAACTCTTGAACTACCACATTGGTCTTTCTACTGGGTCTTTGACCTTGTGCAACAAGACGACTTACCGGCTGTTACCAGCTGGGGTTTAGGAAGCTGCATTTGTTTACTCGAAGTTCAGGTTGGTCTTTCCTCCTCTGAGCCAATACTCACAAGTCAAACTGTTTGCACAAACAGGCTTCGCTTAGTCTTCGTCTCAAGACACCGCGCCCTGAACAGAGCCTAACATGCAATGAGGAGGCTTCGTTTCCAAAGGGCGTCTCCGTTTTGTTGCTGAATGGTTCACCCCGTTCTACTCCAACACATATTGCATAGTATACGAACCTTTTGAGTGGTAGCGCACATGCTAAATGCGAGGTCCAGGACCAGCAAGCTGACAAAAAATTGCTTCGAGGACACATCATGGCCTTTGATCATGTAGAAGGCGCTTCTCCTAAAAAGCCCTTTGCCAATAAGGTATATAATCGCTTCCAAAACATGTCCTGACATTGCAAGCATGGGCGTATGGCTAGGCATACTGAACAACTGAGCTACTCAGTTGCTCAAAGGACCCAGAAATACAGGGGTCAGTCTTTTGGGGTCATGAGAGTCATGACTAAATATGGACCAACACCGGAAAACCCAAAGGTCCAACAAAAGCGGCTTTGCGCAAGCGAGACCATTGAAGCTGGAAACCAAATCGTGGTCCAACTCTCGGTTGGAGCCGCCAGGTTCAACCGCCAGAGTGCATCCAAGGAACAAATCTTCTTCCCGGGGGGCAGCAAAGCCTGGCACGGTCAAGAGTCATCGGCGCAACACAGATGTTGGTGCGAGAGGTAGAGAACCGGACCGAATCAGGGTGTTGGGAATGAACCGGAAGGGGATTCCCTTTAAGAAACCACAGGGCATGGTTTATACGGGTCACCCGCAACTCATGATCTGCTGAGACCAGCAAATCATAGAGGTGGTCAGTAATCACTTGTAACTGTTCTTCCCCTAATAGCAAAAAAACATCATTTTCCAGATCCCTAGTCTCCGAACTAGCCAATGGCAGGGATGTGCCTAACAGAAATCTGTTTAAGTACGAAGAGCAACAGCATGAATCGCACAAATGAGGGAAACACAATCCACCATAGTTGGAAAGGCCCAAGGAACAGGCCCCACGGAAGCAGCGACGGGGCAGGTTTTCAAAACCGGAAACCAAGAACAGCTCCCCAATTTGCTAAGATGTCCTACTTACGTTTTGCCCACCTCTTCGATCTGCTCTGTGCTTGGTGATTCTCATTGCGACTTAGGGGGACATTTATTGAGCTGCGTCTCCGGGACCTGTCAAAAAGACCGAGCACATGGCAACGCTCAAGATCAATTGCATGCAAATCGGTCAGCTTGGCTCACAAGACCATTGGAAGGCTTTGCATCTGATCTAGCAACATCATCGTGTCTCAGTTCTCACAGAGTGTTGACAGGTGTCCCTTGCGCATGGCTCGATTGATTGATTGATTGCCACGAGTAGAGAAAAACTCGACGAAGACAGCGCTTGCATGCTTTTCTTCGAGCGCGCTCTCACTGCACAAGGAAATGCAGCACCTGGCCGAGTCGGACCACAAGAGGCACAAAAAGGCTGAGTCCGTCTCTTCTCTCTCTGCCTATGATATGACGCATGTCTGTACGCATGTCTGCGCGCATGCCCGGACTGCCAATAATGCCGTATGCATGAAGATAGAGCAATGTGTGGCATATACCCCCTCCTTTAGTATAACCATTAGTCGGCGAAATCGGGGATAAGTGCAAATCAACAAAGTGTCGTCTGTCCTGCTGTTTGCGATGCAATTTTGACCTGTTGCCTGCATTGCTACTGGAGGAAGCTGGACTAAACCTTTGAGTGACAAATAAACAGGGGGAAACAAACACTGTCCGGTTCCAGGCATTGCTGAAGGCAATGGCTCTCAACCTGCCAAATACAGAACATTTTATACCTAAGAACTAAGCCAAATAAGCTGAACCATGCTTGTATCAACTTCTTCAACCCAAATGAAATAAACCGCCAGTACTAACATGAGGTGCAGCGGTCGACTTCTGTATGCAGGCTCAGTGACGTCGCACTGTCACAAACTGGTATATAGGAAGTAAATACTCTTGAACAGCTGCAACTCTGGAGCGAACAGCGAAGAAGCAACATAACCCCTTGTTTGCTTCTGATAAAACACTACGATGTCCCCTGTGTACCCAATATGAACAGTCAATATCTTTCTCAAACAGAAACGTCTTCACGTGTAAGTCGGAGTCTTGCCTGCAGGTAGTCGCCCTCTGGGAAGCTTTTGCGGACCGGATGGTCGGCCGCCGGGCGGCCTTCCTCCTAACCACCACCCCTGGTCTCGATTTGTCTCATGAGGGATCCCCGGCATTGAAATTCCCATTTCTGGTTACTTGTTTCCGGTTCAACAAAAAACAAAAGAGTAGCTAGCCAACTCGCACTGAGCTCAGTGGCAGGTTCTGGAGCGAACCAAGATCTTGATGGACACCATCTACGGGCACCAGGTGCGATCGGTCGCTTATCCCAGGGTTCCATCATACCTGGTGCGAAGTGGTGGTTTTGTTCCGTCCACACTAAGTTGGGTTGTGGGGCTTTTTTTGGTAGCCCCGTGAAAAAGCAACAAGGCTTTGGGCAAAAAAAGACCGCTCTGGAATCATTCTGATCGAGAAACATTGGTGAGGTCGAGCTACTATGTGCCATGATGTGAGGTTTGGATGTGGCCCGACGCGGTCCACACCTGTGGATTTAGGTACTGGGGAAAGCCATCTGCCATTGGCTCTCGTGCAGAAGAGTCGAAAACAGGTCGAAGCTGGACACCTTTTAAGCCTCTTGACCACAATCGTCCAACTGGCTTTGAAGAACCGAGTGGGTTTAGCCTTGGCCTTCCTAGGAAAATTGTTGTCAAAAGGCGAGAGTCTTCACACGCTTCAACGAGGCATTCCTACCAAGGCCTTACAAGTCAGTGAAATGGTATCTACATGTATCTGATCTTTTAAACTCTGGCCACTTGTCAAACACACACTCTCTGTTGGCATTACCTCGACACGATGCTCACTTAAATAGGATTGTTTTGCGGCCTGCAAGGTGTTCAGCAAAACTTGGCAGCATTCACAGGAGTGCACGCCTCCCCAACTATCGGCTATCGGTACAAGATCAAACACATCAAGGACAGAACATCGATCCTTCTGAAGTGGGGCAAAGTCACATGGCCAGCCAGCTGTGTAAAACTCGCACTAGCCTGCCTGTCTTTCGCTGGAGTCCAAGGGTGCAGGGAGAGGCCCGATGAGGTGTGCGGGCCGCGAAGAAAAACACTACAAATTTCGTGCCATGACTAAAAACAAACCCAACCAGGCAAGTCAACAGGTACGGTTAGCTTCAACTATGCATGCGCACAGACATTACTTTGCGAGGCGAAAAAGGCCCAGTGGGTGTGCCTTTTGTCACAAACATGGCGGCTTTTCTTTGGGTTTTGCTTCATAACCACCAGAAAAGGTATCCACCCCGCAGAAAAAAGAGACACTGCCAAGTAAGCCCATGGGGTCTCCCGGGGCCTGGTTTGGGCGCTTCAAAAAAACGCATCCCAGATCCTCCAGCTGAAGCTGGCAGCCACTCTGACGCGCAGCCGCCTGGAGGGTTGCAATGGATGGTGACGGCTTGGCTTCAAGTATCATGACCCGTGAAAAATGGGGGCATGACCACTTTCTCTTGCCGATTGGCCCCCTTTCAAACACACTCCAGGTAGCTTTTAATCTGTGCCCATGTGACATTCTGTAAGGGTCATGGAGATTCTAGTTAGCTTTGAACCTGTGCCCATGTCACATTCGAGACCCACTAATCTGCAAGCAGAAGTTGAACTAGGATTTCTAACTCCCCAACATGGAGTTTCGCAGACAAACAAAGTTTACCAAATCAATCGCTGGGGACACAGCTCCAAAATGTCTGGCAGGGCAACTGCCACACGACACTTTGATCGAGCCCGGCCATGTCACAGACCTGATCCCTCATTGAAGATCATCAATTATCTGTATCCGGAAGGGAAACGACTAGCGAGCCCCGCTATCAAACCTCCAGCTGCTTCAGTCCCGTGGCAGATTCCCTTTAAAACAAGAAAGGGAAACACAAGAAGCCATCCTTAAGGCCCACACCTCCACTGCGTTCAGCAGATCTTTGCGCGTGATATGAGAGCCTTGCCGAGATCACGTCGGCCGAAACTTGTGCTCATGTTGCTTTTGCTCATATCCCTTGCAGAATCTATATGTGAGGTATTCTTTTGGCGGATTCCAACATCAACCCGACTCGTTCCGAAGATCCCAACACAAATGGGCACACCTGCCTGGATTTTGCCATACTTTCGAAAGAGGCAAGGTGCAAGTGCTGGAAGAGTGTTCGAAAGCACACAAGCAGGGAACACTCATTTTGCAGCTTGCCAGATTCAGGCGCTGGACAGGGTACGACAAGGCAGCCGATGGTATGACTCAACTAATACAACCGCACGCTTCATGCTGGAACCAGAATGGGTGGGGGTAGCAGGAGACCTCATCATGTTTGCCGGGGACCACTGCTAGAAATCTCTCAAAATAGTCTTTTCACGTATGCACAATGTGGAACCAATTCTTGCGGAAGCAACACTTGGGAACCAACATGAAAAAACCGATGGTGGCCATGTTAAACTCTCTTTTAGAACAGCCCAGTCATTGGCCAATGTGCACTCATTTGCTCGCAGTGAACAACAGACACCCTTGTTGTGGCACAAAGTTGCGAAGAGACACCCATACCTCGGAAAATTGGCTACCCTCTTGTACACTAACGTGGAACCCAACCAGACATTCCCTTTAGGACAATAGTCTTCCAGGGCTCAGTCATGTTCCATGCGCAGGGGTACAACCATGTTCGTCTTCAAAGTACTTGGGGCTTCCGGCTGCAGGAGCAGCTGATCAGCCGGCCGCCTGTTCCAGTGCAAGGCCGAAGCAACTGATGGGCTCCTCATACACAACCACCACTAGTTACCAGCACGACTGCTACCTCTACTACCACTGCTACTACTGCCATTGCTAGCACCACCACCACCACCACCATCACCAGTGCCAGTACCTGTTTCATGCTGGCTCAAGTTCAACCTGCCGACACGAAGGTGCTAGCAAAAAGCAGTCCTTCCCCCACACACACACCCGTGGACCGACCAGACGTCTCAGCTAGCAAGGTGGGTGCTGATCAACAAATCGTGCTATTTCCCACTAGGCAAGCAATTTGTGCCCTAAACCGAGGCTTACCCATGAATGAAACCGCGTCCGCTTGCGCATTTCAAGATTCAAGACATTCTGGTTAAGCATCTGTTGAAAATCCCAAGCATTCCCAGACGCATATGGCTATGGGGTCATTGCCATTTAGCTGTTTTTTTTGCTTCTTCTCCCCTTTTTTTTCCGAAGTACCCTTTAAGGGCAGTTTTGTGTTGGGAAAGCCAAAGGGAAAACCGCACTGTTTGGGGGGAGCAAGCATCTCTCCGTGGCCTGGGCGCAGCACGCGTAAAGCGCCCTGGTTCAAGGTGCCGTAAGCCTTCAGTGCCTGGCAATGAGCCCGATCGCTTCATCGAAAAACTGGTTTCGTTGGCTATTAGGGTGAGTTTGGGCTAGGGGAGGGACATAAGCAACAGTTGGCATTCGCTGCTTCAGTTACAAGTGAGTACTCACGACATCAACAACTTGCTGGTTCTCAGCAGGGAATGAGGGAATGACCAGTATAAACCATCCCCTATAACTTCCTTTGAGAGAATCCCTTCCTGTTCATTCCCAACATCCGGAAGGTCATTCTCTACTGAGCACCGGCAAGTTTCGTTGCCGATCTCGGCCGCGGTGAGATGGGAAGAAGCAATTGTTGGAGGGCTCTGGTTGATGTTTGATCTGTACTGTAAGCCTTGTGGCCAAGAGATTTCGTGGGACAGCAGGGCAAATGGCCCCGCAGAGTCCATCGCTCCCTATTGATTACGGCTTCGAATCCACAATGCACAGAACTTGTGATGGGGTCCTGTAATATCACAATTAGTGCGACCTCTTGTTCGAGTTATCTATTGTTTGGAGTGCTTACCCATACACTAAGTTTGTTGCTGTGTGTGGTGTTTATATTTTCATGACAAGCTGAAACATAGCATAGTGTGCCCTCATCAAATCTCTTGTGACGTATCCATAATTACGAAATGAGCCGTCCCAAAATCAGACTTGGAAAGAAACAATGTATCTATATGTATATACATAGAGACGCAACTACTCCACTTAAATGTGTTCGCGCTGCATCTGTGCTACCCCTCTGACTGACAGCTACTTCGATACCCACATTTTTCCCATGCGCGGTCATCCGGAAAACTCGACAACTTCATTGGGATTCTCACATACACCTTCCCTGCCAGACTTAAACAGTTCCTCACCAACGCTACAACACGAGTCTTCACCAAGCTCTTGTGTTTAGAATTCATTGTAAAAGCAAATGCTTGACAACACTGCATCGTTGTTGATGCTCAAATCGTTTCTCAATATGCTTATTTGTGTTTCACATTGTTGCTGTCGTAGCTAGCTTCCTTCCCTCTGCTGCCTTTTCCGTTGTTGTTTCATCCTTTTCCCTACCGGTGTTACGAGTTGATGTCAGTTCATTGCGGTTGCCCTTGTTTTGCTCCAACCCTGCTGCTGTTCTGTCTAACTTGTTGCAGCAATGCCATTAACTGTTTGCAGTGACATACTGCGAAATATTGAGCATAATAAAATTATGCAAAGTGAATCAATATACTTTGCCGTGTTGTTGTTTTTTTCCTTGTCCTCACACGCTTCAGCGATTGAACGTGTTTAGTATGTTGGCCGCATGGTGTGTTGATGACCATAACATAATATGCGATTAACGATAGAGCAATTATCGATAGTCAAATTATGTCCTGGAAGGACTTGCTATGCACGCATTTGTCAAGGACTTGCTTGTGCTGCATCGCTGCTGATGCTCGCTGCACTAGTTACGCTGCCTGCATAAACAAAGGAGCTGTGTACGTCCTCGTTTTTGTTCTCCCACAAGTCAATGCCCGCGCTTTTGGTGCGCTATCTCAACAGGGAGGCTCCAATGGGTTGCCTTCCTCTTTTGAGAGTAAGCGGGGCCGTTTCAAGATTCACAATATGGGTAAGGGTCAAAAGTAAACCACGAGAAAAAAACACAGGTTTTACTCTTTGTTTCCATTTGCCAGGGCAACCCATTTTGGGGTTACCACATTCTTGACCCACAGCCATGTGGCAATGTGACCGAGTTGACCGTTCTTGCAGACTCCGCCTGTGGTCGTGCAGATGCACGCGGGGCCATGGAAGGTGGGTCCAAGACCACCTGAGTTTGGCAGGCCGCATGGGGCTCGTCTTGAAATAGGGGGACCCCAAGAATTGTTGGACTTCCCCTTGGTTCCCTTTAAAAACCATCTCAACAAAGGTAAGACTCTTCAAAGCACCACATTGGTGCTACTGGTACCTTAATCGCGAACGGTGCATCCTTTACGCCGCATAAGGATTAGTGCCAAAATGGGAGGATTGCCCAGCTCCACTGGGCAGCTCCCCTCAGCAGCTGATGGGAGTAGAATTGATGCCACTCCCACAGCGAGGGAGGAATCCTCCCACCTCACCGGATGCCCTCCCGGCATCATGGGTGAGGAAGGAAAGTAGCGAAGATCAGCTTGATCAATTCGCTTTCGACTGAGGGGAAGACCCGGTTCTCAGTCGGAAATTGCGGGTCCGGATGAGTAAGTTCATCCGCCCATGTGTTAAAGTCGCGCTTCACATGCGACGGTCCTAACATGACCTGGTGGTCATGCAGTGTTAACACAATTTCCATGAGGATGGCCGCATTGGGCATCCTGCGAGTGGAATCGTTAAGCAGGGAGAAAACGTTTCCCTGGTTATCACTAGCAACCAGAATCCTAGTGTGAGAAGCCGAGCCGGCTGCACAAAGCAGAACAGCCCTCACCAAAAGGAGGAGGCCGAAGAGCTCCAAGGCCGCTATCGCCCGCTGCGGGTCCCCAGTAGTGAAGGCCCACGGCTCGCCCTCCGGTGTGATTCTGTGTTGGAACCACTTCACTCGGGACTTGTCGGGGTTGGGCACGTCCGAGCACCAACCACCAACCCATGCATGGTCCGCCTGTTTGCCAGCTCCCGCATCAGATGCCCCCGTCCATGGAAGTGTGGGAGCAAATGGAGATGCCAGTGGGAACCTCTGGTTGAAGAGCTTCCCCAGAAGGATGGCCAGAGCACGAACCAGCTTCGGTGGCCTGCCCGAAGTGGTGCAGGCCTTCTTCCAGCTCCAAAAGGGCTGGAGGAAAGGTTTCGTCAATGGACACGCCGAAGTAGCCCATTGAATCCGGCCCAGGGCTTGTTCCACCTCCTTGCTGGTAAAGATGTCCCCCTGGGCCAGCCGTTTGAGAGTGGCCAGGATTATGACGTGCTTGACTGGAGCCAGCAGCACACAGCACCACGAATCCCAACCATGTATTGACCGGGGAGAGCGCCGTCTTCTTCCAAGAAAGCGGGACTCCCAGCGCCAGAAGAGTGGCCAGGATGGCTGTGGCGTCCCAGTCCGCCCTGCTGCATCTGAGGACCCAGCAGTAGTCGTCCACAAAAACTAAGTGCCAGTCCACCTGAGGGAAGATGTAGTACAAGAGTCTGAGCACCAAGGATGCCTTTCTTCCCCAGTACAGTTGTGCCGAGGCCATGCCGTACGTGCCCACTCTATTGACCCACCACCGGTTCTGGATGCAGGCCACCTGGTATTTCCAGTCTTTCTGGAGCACTTTTATGCGCCTGTGGGCCTTGGTGACATCCGCCTTGAGGATGATGAAGGTTTCCCCCTGTGTCGGCGGCTGCCACGTCAGGGGTTCCCCCCTGCTCCCCCCCGGGCGTTCCGTGCCTGGGGGGGTTGGGGGGAATGGGGCCCTCCGATCAGGGCCCTCGGCACCTGGGAGTGGCCCCTTCCCTGAGGTGTTGACCGCGGAGAGACGTCCAGGCCGCCTGAGGTCTCCATCATCCGCCTGCCCCTATCAGGGCCCTCGGCACCTGGGGGCAGGCTGGTGCTGTGGGGGTCCCTCTCAGGGCCCTCGGCACCTGGGGACTGCCCCTGCACCGGCTGGTGAACATCCCGAGGTTCCTCATCAGTGCCCGAGGATGGGGCTCGGAGTAGATGAGGATGGTCCGCCGCTGTCCTGAGCCAGTGGATGGCATGGAGGCAGTCTCCAACCATCGGTGCGGTGGTCTTCTCCTCCGTGTGAGCCTGGATGTGTGCGTTTGCTCCCCCTTTTGAGCCATCATAGATCGTCCTGATCTTGTCCGACTCATCAATCCCTGCAAGGGGGCCCGGGCAAAGTTCCTCCGGTTTGCAGCGGCACCTCTCTGCCGCCTCGGAGCGAGTGAAGGGCCCGTCCACCATGTCCAAGGCTCGTTCCTCGTAAAAGGTTGATTCGATTTCCTTGGCAAAGAGTTCAGCCGTTGGGTAGTTACCATGAGCCACTGGCGGGGGGGGATCTTCCCCCAGCCAGGCTTCTCCCTTAAGCTCCTCCTTAGTGGGCCAAACTCCCGGGGAGGTCAAGGTAGGGTCCGAGACTCCCAAGGGGACCCCCTCTTTCAGTGTTAGGGGGAACTCCCAATCAGGGTCACCTGAAAGGGATGCCAAGTGCGACACTAAGTCCAGGAGGAAGGGTTGTCCTGGGCATCGTTCATGGAGGTGCCTCGGTCCTAGGATAGCCCGCAGCTCCTCGAGGTCGGCTTCCTGGAAGGGGTGTGTGGTGGCACCTGATGCCAGGGACATTCGGACCTTGTCAATCCAGGGACGGGTAAGGGTCATGATCAGGGCGCCCAAAGTAGCCAATGGGGAAATTCTCCGAAAAGGGGGGTTGAGCCTTTCTGAGGAAGGTTTTCCCCCCCCATCCCTCAGGGGGCGTGAGCGGAAACCCAATTGGACAATCGCCACCCGGTCAGTGAGGTGTGGGACCCTGAAAGCGGGCAGGCATTCGGGGCGGTCCAGGACCTGGTCCCCCTGTCCCTCCTTCCCCAGTTGTTCCGCATCTCCGGCCATCGGGGGCATGGGAGATGGGAAGTCTGGGTTCATTGTTCCACGAGGGCTTACGGTGTCTGCCTCAGGGTGGAACTGCCCGTGCAGGCGGGGCTTCGGGGCGTTCTTGCCTCCGGGCTTTGAGCCCTGGTGTGATGAGGAGGGACCGCCTCCTTGACTGGGCCCCCGTTTTCCCCGGGGGGAATGGCCTTCCGGGGGGTCCGACCCCCGCCCCTTAGGTGGTCCCTTGGGGTTTCCCGGAAATTGTGAGGGGATCCGGATGTGCCCCGGCGCTGCGAGTGACACAGCGATGGCTTTGGCCAGGCCTGCCATCATATCCCAAGGGTATCTGCTAAGAGTCGAGGACTCGTTGGTGCCCACATGTGACTGATGCGTGCACCGCATTTGATCCCAGTCCTGGATCGGGAGATCCGTGGCCAGCGTAGTGGCCTTCTTGACCAGCTGGCCCAGGCGGCACTGGTCGAAGGAGATTGCTGTCAAGGAGTTCTCCTCCATCCAAAGCTGCCCCTCCTCTGTGATCCAGAAGGATGAGCATTCCTTGGCTTTGGGCAGCGAGCTGCTCACCACTGGGTCCTCCGGGTGTTCCAGGAAGGACCTGGGCCCTGGCAGAGAAACCGCCGCTCGTGAGGCCCTTGCCAGGCTGGTGATGTACATCTGTCTCAGAATGAGGATGCTGTCATCATCAAGTTGAGTCTGGGCGGCCTGGTCCAGGTGTGGAAGGCCCCAAAGTGTCTCTGGAGTGCGCCCTCGCACCGGGGTGGGAGCCCCCGGTTTTGGTATGTGGCGCAGGATGGACCATGTCCTGCAGTTGGGTCCTCCTCCAATGAAGACCACTCGGCCCTGCTTTGCTGCCGTGCAAAGAGCTCCATACAGCTCGGGTTGGAGCATATCGTGGTCCCCTTTTGGTCCAGACCGTAGGATGTCTACCGCCACCACCATGCTGGAAAGGTGTGGGTAGTTGGCATGAAGACAGCTGTCCAAGGAAGTTGGGTCTTCCTTGCCTGCATAGAGCAGGACAATGATGGGCCCACTGGATGGAACTTTGGGCGATGTGCCCTGTGTCCATCTCAGCCGCTGTACCAGACGCTCAGGGATGTTCTCCATCCACGGGAAGATGTCCAATCCCGGTGACGGCTCCGTTGGACTTGTCAGGGGGGTAGCTGAAAGGCGTTGGCCCCCTTCATTCAGCCCCACCGAGCTCTTGTGGAAAACCACCGGGTCCTGCTTGATGATGTTGGGCGCCGGAAGTGGGATCGGCTGCTTCCTGGGAGTGTCCCTTGGCGTTGCGGTGTGCTGCCAGTCATCCGGCACTCGGGCCTTCTGGGTGCGGCCCCCCGTGTCAGGGCCCTCGGCACCTGCGGGGAACCGTCCCGTCCCCGCCATATCAGGGCCCTCGGCACCTGTGGCTCGGGACTGAGGCGCCGCCGTTGTGCCGGTTGTGTGGCTGTTCTGATCACGGCGAGGGCGTTGTGCACGCTGGTTCTGCCGTCCCCATCCTTGTTCCGCCGAGGATGGCCGCCACCTGGCCTGTCCCCCCCCTGTGTCAGGGCCCTCGGCACCTGCAGGAGGGGGCTTCTGTGCCTGCTTGGGGCGTTTGCGCCCCTTCTCGCCCCCGGGCCTTATCAGGGCCCTCGGCACCTGAGGCCTCCCGGGGGGTAGGGGTCAGCGCCCCTAGTCAACCCGGGCAGTCCTGCGGGAGGTGGTCCCCCAGGCAGATGCGGCCCATTGCCAGGATGAGGTTGCACTTGTGGGTGCGGCCGCAGTTGCCCGGGCAGCGCCCGCGCATCCAGTTGTTACAGAACTGGTTCCCTTTCGGGTCGGTGGCTGCCTGCTTGCTACCGCCCCGGGACGCCTGATTGTTCAGGTGGGGGGGCTTACCCTTCCCTTTGTTCCCAGGCTTGCCCTTGGGCTTCCCCTTGCCCTTGGACTTGTTCTTGCCCTTCTGAGGTGGTGCGTAGTCCATGGATGTCCTGGTTGATGGGCGGCCCCTGGAAAAGGTCTTGATCTTCTCATAGACCTCACGTGTCCAGAACAATGTGTCCTGCCTGACCGACAGCATGGCCGCCTTGAGGGTGTTGCCCTCATGCATCTTCTCGTGAATCTTTCGCCATGCGTTGCGTTCGGCAATTGCCAGGACGTGGTCCTCTGGCGGGGGAAAACGGCCCCCGATGTCCTCACCATAGAACCACTCGTACCAGCTCTCCAAGTCCTCCCGGGTGATGTCGAACTGGCCGAACTGCGGGAACGAGAGGACGCACATGAGGAGGGTGTTGCGG